TTACCGACAAAGACAAGGGAGACTGGAATGGCCATTTCTTGCTCACTAGCCGTCGTCAGCCAGCTATACGCAACCCCAAAGTGCGGGGAACCTGGGGCTCGATTCCGCGACCTTTTAGTTAAAGTCCAACGCCTATAACCACTGAGCCACGGGCTCGTTTTCCTGCCAGTTGCGATCGCGAATGTACAATGGTAGCAGTGCGCCGCTACGCGGCTGCTGGTTGGACTCGAGAGAGAGAGAGCCCTTAAGGCACAACGGAATGAGCGAGTTCCGTAAGAACGATGGGTGAGCGCCCCTCTACCATTTTATATTCCCGATCGCAACCGGTAGGGCAACGAGCCCGTTGCTCAATGGTTAGAGGCGTCGGAATTCTAACTAAAATGTCGCTGAGTCGAGCCCCAGGTGTTTTACGCTTCGGGGTTTGGTATGCTGGCTGACAACGGCTAGTAAGCCAGAAATGGCCATACCAGTCCCCCTTGTCATTGTAGATAATGCTATTTCACGAGATGGCATATGGGCGGAGCACACAATCTATGCACTAACCGAAGAAATTTTGCGTCAAAAGCGACACGTGACTGTGAAGGAATCTCACCTTGAATCGTGCACCCTCCCAACCGCTAATGTAATCTCATCCAAAGTCACCTCTCACAGTTGAAGGTCCAACTAAAAAAGCGTAGGCTGATGATTTACGAGTATGCGCGCACACTGCATGATAAGCTCGTCTGACGGCAGGAATTTCTCGAAAGTCTAATCACAAACTGGAGGTGCTCGAGGTCAGAGCTCTGACGCAACGCGGCACAGTCGTGCTCATCAGGTCTGAAGAAAAGTACAGAACTCCAAGACACGTTGATTGGTCATGACGTTCTCTGCGTCACAGACGCTGCAATCACCTAGGCATCCCCTTCCCCCCTCTACTCTTCACCGAAGGAATGTCGAAAAGAGGATATCACAGGGTCCCCACAGCGGTTTTTTACCCCAAGTCTCTTGCTTTGGTCACAGGCGCCAGGACCGAGCCTTCAGCATGCGGTCCGGTGTTATGGCTCGATTGGAGGAATCAGCGTTCATCAATCGTCTCCTAGCAACTATGGTAGATGCCTGTAAATGGGGTCTTGGTAGTTACAAAAAGGTCTGTAAGCGTGTGCTACGCCAGTATCAGCAAACCATGGCCCTCGTAGCCTGGTATGCACTAGCAGTTCTCTGACATCTGATTCCCTGCCGGTAGATGCGCTTGCGCCCCCTTCTGAGTATACAAGTGGTGGGCATGACTGCCCGGTCATCATCCTCGTCCTTCTGACCCCTGTTGGGGTGTTGTTGGTCAAAAACTTGGTCATTTGCTGTTTGGACCACGGGATGTGGAGTGGAACGCCAAGGGGCGGACTCGACCGCGCCATCCACCTGCATCTTCCCCCCCGCCTCCAGTCTTCTTAACTCCGTCTTGACACCGCGTCTAGGTGGAGAATGGGGATGAGAGTGTGCAGTAGATGCTGCGAAAGCCTAATCTCACTATAAACTAATTCACGCGCAGGTCACCGTGCCCGCTTCACCTTTCAGTGGAACACGCGGTGGACATCATCGGCAACGACGTTTGAACTGTCGGTAGTGACCACCTTGGAGAAATGTGATCTCGTATCGTCTTCCAATTAGTTCCATTATCCAAAATGCTGCTGACTCCACGTCAGAAGCTCCTCCATTCCACTACGCACTGACCAGATGATATGATAATCCATTCGACAGTCAATGCCGAATGACCTATTGGGAAGGTACCATAAATCTTTGGGTGGCCTTATAGAGGATGCCAGTCTGACGCTCCAAATCTGCTCATTTATACTAACGGTGAAAGGGAGTTGAAAGGAGAGGACTTGGTCCTTCCGCACTCTATCCACGTGGAAACTGGAAACATAACTGGGCGGGAGGTGTCAGCTGATGTCATCGCTGCAAGATCCAGTCGGAGACTGAAGGTGCCAGACCAGCCCTGACTTCACAAAACGCTAGCTTCGTAGACAGCACAAGTAGACAGAGTAACGTACAACCAGCGCACGTACGACTGAGGGGGAAGAGGCGACAGTCAAAGATCACTTAATCCTGGCTGGAGGACATAGAGAACAGTCAGATGCGCCAAACAATTACAGGATTTCATTTTAAATTTAAGACAGACTTCTTCGATGAAGGTCAGGAGGCGAATGGGCCAATAGGCGAAGAGATTGGTAAGAACAGGGATGGCAAGAGGTTGCTATCCGAAGCACAGTCCCCGCAAGATCCCTACATTACTCAAGTGACAGAACCGCGGATAAGGACGTTTGTAATGTTGGTACAGACGTTGTCCAATCATACCTGACCCACCTGTTTCGTTGTTGATGGGCGTGCGGACGAAACGAGAAAGCGTACCACACTGACAACTGCTAAATTCATATTGACCCAACTGTGAAAAACTCGGCGCCTCGGTGGGATTCGAACCCACGCAGTAAGGGGGAAGGCTTTAGTACAGCCAACGCTCTAACCAGCCAAAAATATCAATGAATTACGTGAGCCTAGTAGTCATCTGGTGGATTCTAGGTGAATTACTTAGGAAATCCTGCTTGGGCAGTCAACTTACTGTATCAGATTTGGTGGATTCCAGACGTTGCAGTAGGTTGGGCGGGTAACTTGACCCAAGTGTGATAAAACTCGCGTCGTCCGGCGGGGCCTCGTAGCTCAGGTGGTTAGAGCGTTGGCTGTACTAAAGCCTTCCCCCTTACTGCGTGGGTTCGAATCCCACCGAGGC